GTGGTCACCATGGCTTTTAACCTTAAGGAGAAGTTTATGGAAACATTGGGCATAGTCCTAATTCCTTCATTTCATATATATCCTTGGGATGCCTTGCTTACTCCCATTTCTATAACCATCACTCAATCATTCCATGGTATGGATGGATGCCAACTGGAAGGTAGCATGGAAAAATAGGTCCGATTGGACTGACTGTCCTCAAATAGTTCCTCTAAAAACAGGGATAAACTTAATTATCTTAACTGAATTGAGAATCCTAAGGACAACTATCTGGCCTGGAGGATATGTTGGAGACACCACAAACCTACATCTGTCAACTGATGAAAGTCCTTTTTTAGAGCTCCAGCCATGATAAGCAACATGTCTTTTCTAGGGACATGATCTGAACCCTTAAGACTGTGTGAACCCTTAAGACTGTGTGTCTTATGTCCAAGCCACCCATCGTTTTGCATCCTACCAAGAACACAGTGACTTGTGCCTTAGGGATGGTCATAAAAGACCTTTGAATGTTTAAGCAAACACCACCGGCAAATTATATAGGCCTCAAATGATTCTAGAGATTTTTCCAAAATGAGGCTTATACTTGGCTACTAGGGTGAGTTTCATGGAAGGATAATTGATTTATTTATGTGTGCCCTTAGGCAGTTATCCTCACAATGGGAAACATCAAATTGGAAATATTGGTAAGGAAGTTGTCCCTGAATTTAGTTTAAGAGGTAAATGACACCACTGCAGTCTTGTTCAGACTCAACTCATTGGCTAGGGTTTTTACGGATAAGAATTGCCCTCAACTGCCTCCTTGTGGCCCAAGGAAGACATTGTGCAATTGCTCATAAATCCTGCTGTATCTGACTGAACCTCAGACCAAGTGAAAAGATCAATATTGAAACGTAAGGAGAAAGTCACATGGTTTTGGGGATTTGTTCAACTGGTTAGATTCAAGAACCTGGCAGCATGGTTGAGGTACATCATAGAAGCTGGTCCATCCTTCTCCTTTAAGTCCTATTAATAGTAGTCTTAAGTAAATCCTGTGTGAGACAAAGTGAATGAATTTGTTTGCAGCTTCTGTTGATTAGATTATTCAGAGTGACTGATGACAAGGCATACTTATGGGAATATTTGTCAGAGAAAAAAATGATGTCAAAACAAGAGGTGGGTATCTCAATGGATCCCCATATCAGAGTATTAGAAGAAGACAAAGAGTATGGAGTAAAAAAAACTATTGATGAAAAAATAATGGCAAAATATCATAAACTTACACATTCAAGAATCTCAGTGTTCCCAAACAGAATAAATGTAAAAAAGGAAAAGATGCACACAGAAATATCATAACCAAGCCCTGAAAACTAAAGACAAAGAAATCATGATAGGAGCCAGAGAAAAATGATAAATTTCATATCAGGAACAATGATCTCAGTGATTGCAGATTTTTCATCAAAAATCATGGGTGCTAGAAGGAAGCAGAACGTCATTTGAAAGTGTTGAGAGAACACTCAATCCAGAATTCTATATCCAATGAAATATTCCTTAGGTGTAAAGGTTAAATAAAAGTATTCTCAGATGAAAGAAAACTATCATTATACTTATTGGTGAGAGATTGATGTTTTCTCCCTAAGACTAGGCACAAAGTAAAGATGTCCACACTCACCACTCCTACTAGAATTTCTAGCCAGTACAATAATGAAAATAAATAGGTGAGGAGGGGAGATACAGAGAAAGCTTGGAAAGGAAGAAATAAAGTTGTCCTTACATGTCCTTCACAGATTACATGATTTTCTACACAGAAAATACCATGAAATCTACCAAAAAATCCTAGAAATAGTAGGTTGCAGAATACAAGGTCACAAAAAAAAATCAATCACATTTTTACACACTAGCATTAAAAACTGGAAATAAATCTAAAAATATGATTTATAATAGCTTCCAGAAATGAAATATCTAGGTATAAATTTTACAAAAGAGATGGAAGATCTGTATTCTGAAAACTACAAAACTTGATGAAATAAATGATTTGAAATCAAAGAAGACCTAAATAAATGAAGTTACATAGAGTTTCCATGGATTAGAAAAGTCATTATAATTAAGATACCATTCTTCACAAATTGATTCACAGATTTAATGCAATTGCAATCAAACTCCCAGCAGGAATTTTGTAGATATAGAAAAGCTGATTTTAAAATTTTTTATAGAAAAGCAAAAGAAGTAGGAGAGCCAGTTTTGAAAAAGAAGAGCAAAGCTGGAAAACTCATACCATCTGATTTTAGTAATTACTTTAAAACTATAATAGTCAAGAAAGTGTTACGTATTGGGAAAGGGATAGACAATGCAATGGACTGAATATTTGTTCCCTGCTCCCCCGCCAAAAAAAATTCATATGTTGAAATTCTGATCTCCAATATGGTGGTATTAGGAGCTTCGGCCTTTGGGAGGAAATTAGGTCATGAAGGTGAAGCCCTCATGAATGGGATTAGTGCCATTATAAAGTGGACCTCAGAGAGCTCCCTCATCCTTTTCCACCATGTAAGATTATAAAGAGAAAATAACAGTCTGCAGCCCAGAAGAAGGCCTTCACCAGAACCCAACTATGCTGGTACCTTGATCTCAGACTTCCAGCCTCCAGAACTGTAAGAAATAAATTTCTGGAGCTCACAAGCCACTCAGTTGATGGTATTTTGTTACAACAGCCTACACTGATCAAGACAGCCACCTAGATCAATGGAACAGACTAGAGAATCCAGGAAAACAGTCCAAACAAATACAGTTAATTGATTTTTGAAAAAAGTACAAAGGCAAGTTGATGGAAAATATACTTTATCTGTGTCCTTTTTTTTTTTTTTTTGTCTTTTCAACAAATGGTATGATGCTGGAACAATTTAACATCCATATGCAAAAGAAAAAAGAACCTTGATCCTCACATCTTACACTAAAATTAACTCAAAATGGACCATACTGTAATTAACTCAAAATGAACCATACCATAATGTAAATATAAAACTACAAAACTTTGGAAGAAAACATAAGAGGAAATCTTTGTGACCTTTAGGCAGAGTTTTAAAATTTGATAATAAAAGCATAGTCCATAACAGAAAAAAGTGATAAATTGGAATTTATCAAAATTTAAAACTTTTGCTTAGTAAAAGATAATATTTAAAAAATGTAAAGACAAGTTCCAGATGGAGAGAAAAGAAAATATTTGCAAATCATATGTTCAATTAAGTCTTCTGTCCAGAATATATAAAGAACTCTCAAAACTCAAGAGTAAGGAACAACCCAGTTAAAAATAAGCAAAATATTTTAACAAACACTTTGCCAGAAAAGAAATATGGATGTCAAATAAATATAAAAAATTGTCAACAACAGCCATCAGAGAAATGTAAATTAACAATGAGATATCACTACATAGAATGGCTGAAAAACAGTTGATAATACCAAGTGCTGGTGAAGATTCAGAACAACAGCAATTCTCATACATTTTCTGAAAAGCAGTTTGGCAGTATCTCATAAAATTGAACATACACTTACTGTCTGACCTAGCAATCTTACTTCTAGATATTTACCCTAGAGAAATAAAAACATGTTTCCCCCAAATCTATACAAGAATACTTACACCAGTTCTATTCATAATTGCCATATTTATAATTCACTGGAAACCCAAACGTCCTTCAACAAGTGAATACATAAACAAGATGGGGTATATTCCTACATCATTACTTAGCAATAAAAAGGAATGAACTACTGATACACACAATGACACATATAAATCTCAAAAGCATTATGCTAAGTGAATAAAGCCAGTTTCGAAAGGTTTTATGCTGCGTTTTCACTTACATAACATTTTGGAAAAGGCAAAATTAGCAGACACCACGTTAGTGGTTTCCAGGGGTTAGAGAAAGCATGTGTATGTGACTACAAAGGAGCATCAGAAGGGAGTTTTTTTGGTGAGTTATATTCAGCATAGTTTTACTATAAGTAAATTTTATCATATACTATTCTTCTGAGTATTATCAATAAAATGTAACATATTAATATATGATGAGAGAAAATGTGAATGTGTGAGAAATAGAAGTAATTTTCATGTGTTATAAGTAATCTAAAATAATCATATTTGATTTTTTGATTATATATGCATTAATATTTACATTTTGCATATTTATGTTTCCAAATCATGCTAGACTTAATGTAATGATAAATTTAGTTTTAATTCCTGTGTCTATTCTGGATGAGTGTTGCAGTGGAGGGCAAGGTGAGGGTGAGTTTGGGGTGGTAATATGACAAGGACTAGGACATTTTAAGCTCAGAGTCATTGTAATACATGTTTATGTCTCTGATTTTCCATAGACACCCCATCACAGAGGGTACAGTTTATTCTTGGAACTGAGGATGATGACGAGGAACACATTCCTCATGACCTTTTCACAGAACTGGATGAGATTTGCTGGCGTGAAGGTGAGGATGCTGAGTGGCGAGAAACAGCCAGGTGAGGATTTTTGTTAAAGGATAAAGGTATACTAAATAATTTTCATGCGATTAGGAAAAGAAATTTCTAACGCAATGATTTTGCAAACATCCACTACTGCTGCTGGTTTCAGAAGTTGCTCATCTGGCCCGGGCATATCCTATAATGGGATATGGGTCAGAATGAAATGTGAAGGTAGTAATTATAGTAAACAGTGACGCAAGCCAGCAACAGCTGCAGTCTTAAAGATAAACACTCACATAATTTGTGTGTCATCAACAAAACAATAGAAATCTAAAAGAAACTTATTTCTATCTTTTCAGCTGCAGGCTTGCAAGCCAAATGAGTGACAATTTGAGTATGGGGCTTTTTTTTAAAAAGAAAGGACAAATGTTATGATAAAAGGCGTTAGATATAGTCCTGGATTTCATGTACTATTTGGTGAGGCTAAAAATATTTTGTAATGTGTTTCTAAGACACACTTAAACATAGGTTTTTCAAAATATCTTTTTAAAAATTACTTTTTCTATCATGTGTAATTAATATTTTTCTATTGATATATAGTCGATGAATTGCTCTAAAAAGTTAAAGTTTGTGCTTACTTTTCATTTAGTCTTGTCAATTGCTCATTTATTTATTATAACAAACCTTTATGAAGTATTCACTATGTGCCAGGTACAATGGATATAGAATAACAACAAAAATCTTAGATGTTGCCTTTAGTCTAATTTAGACAATTAAACAACTTTGTAAATGCTGTATAATGGATGCTGTGCTACAGGAGTACACAAGGAACTGTGGGCACAGCTAAGGTTGTCATTTACCCACTGGCTTTCCAAATTTTAATGTGAATATGAATCACCTGGGGTGATGTTAAAACATAGCTTCAGTAGGTGTGAAGTATAGAATATCAGATCCTGCATTGCTAACAACCTTCCATTTGAAGTCACATCAAATGTTTTTGATTTGAGGACCACATTTTGAGTGGCAAGTATCAAAACCAAAAGGGTGAAGGAGAGAGGATTGGGACAGCTGTTGTGAAAGAGGTGATTCTTGACCTGACCATTATAGGTTGAGTTGGAGTTAGCCAGCCAGAAAAGCAAAGGAACTAGTATTCTAGGCAGAGAGAATAGGATGTGTGCAAACACATCGACACAGGATTTACTGCTTTGTTAGGCTATTCCTCCCATGGTCAGACAGCTCTACTAGAAATTTTTTCTGTTGAAGATTTTTGTTAGTGGTCCTCAGATTGCAACAGTTTTCTGAAAGCCACAGTACTCCATTGGGTCATGCTAAACTTGTGGCTGCATTTAATCTTAACTTAACTCTATCTACACAGAATTAGAGTAAAATTAAATGTTCCATCATGATAATGAATATTGTGAATAATACTGGCCTACTTAATTCTTGTTTGGTATATTTTAAGTGACTTTTATAATTCTCCTTTATTGGAAAAATACTAAAAGTAAATAAAAGAAAACTATAGTGGCTATCACCTAGTTCATTCTACTGAGCAATTACTGAGTTAAGGAGGAAATTAACATTGAAATCAAAAGATTGTTTGAACTAAATGATAAAAGAGACACAAGTTATCAAAATCTGTGTTGGTAAACTAAAGCTAAAGCAGTCCTGAGAGGAAAATTTATATTCATAAATGTCTACATCCAAAGGACAGAAAGATCACAAATCAACAATCTAATGAATTGTCTTAAAGGACTAGAAAAGGATGAGCAAAAGAACCCCAAACCCAGCAGAAGAAAAAAATAACAAAGACCAGAGCTGAACTAAATGAAATTGATAACTAAAAACCTCTACAGAGGATTAATAAAACAAAAACTTTGTTCTTTGAAAAATAAATAAAATTGGCATGTCTCTTGCTAGATTAATGAGAATCAGAAAAGAAAGGATTCTAATAAGCTCCATGAGGAATGAAAAATGAGAAATTACAACTGATACCACAGAAATACAAAATATCATCTATGAATACTATAAAAATATCTATGCACATAAACTTGAAAACGTGGAGGAAATGGACAAATTCTTAGAAACACGCAGCCTCCCTAGGAAGTGAATAGAATCAGGAAGAAATAGAATTCCTGAACAGACCAATATCAAGTACCAAAATTGAAGCAGCAATAAAAAATCTTCCTAAAAAGAAAAGTCCTGAATCAGATGGATTCACACCCAAATTTTATCAGACCTACAAAGAACTGGTGCCTATCCTGCAGAAATTATTCCACAACATTGAGAAGGAAGAAACCCTCCCGAACATGTTTTATGAAGCCAACATCACTCTGATACTAAAACCAGGAAAGGATGCAACAAAAAAAGAAAACTACAAACCAATATCTCTTATGAATATAGATGCAAAAATTCTCAACAAAATCCTAGAAATCTGAATTCAGGTACTTATCAAAAAAATAATCCATTACAACCAAGTGGGCTTCATCTAGAGAAGAGATGCAGACAGGGATGGTTCAACATACACAAATCTATAAATGTAATTCACCCCATAAATAGAAATAAAAACAAAGATCATATGATCTTCTCAATAGAAGCAGAAAAAGCATTCAACAAAATTCAGCACCATTTTATGATAAGAATACTTAACAAAATAGGCATAGATAGGACTTACCTAAAAGTGATACAAGACGTATATGACAAAACCACAGCCAACATCATACTGAACAGGGAAAAATTCAAAGCATTCCCACTTAGAAATGAAACCAGAAAAGGCTGCCCTCTATCACCGCTTCTATCAACATAGTGCTGGAAGTCCTAGCCAGAGCAATAAGATAAAAGAAGGAAGTCAAGGTCATCCATATGGGTGTAGAAGAGGTCAAACTTTCACTCTGTGTTGACAATGTGATCTTATATTTAGAAAACCCCAAAGATTCTGCCCTGAGACTATTGGAATTGATAAACAAATTCAGTAAAGTCTCAGGTTACACAATCAATGCACAGAAATCAGCAGCATTCCTATATGCCAACAACAGTCAAACTGAGAACCAAATCAAAGACTAAATACCCTTCACAATAGCAACAAAGGAAATAAAATACCTAGGAATATATTAAACTAAGGAGGTGAATGACCTCTACGAAGAGAAATATGAAACACTGAGGAAAGAAATAGCAGAGGACATAAACAGGTGGAAAGCCATACTATGCTCTTGGGTCAGCAGAATCAATATTGTTAACATGTCTATATTACCCAAAGTGATCTACAGATTCAATGCAATCCCTATTAAAATACCAACATCATTTTTCACAGACCTAGAAAAAATAATTCTGTGCTTCATAGAACCTGAGAAGACCCTATATAGCAAAAGCAATGCTAAGCAAAAAGAACGAATTGGGAGGCATCAATTTACCAGACTGCAAGCTATACCTCAAGGCTACAGTAACTAAAATAGCATATTACTGGCACAAGAACAGGGACAGAGACCAATCAATGGAACAGAAATGAGAACCCAGATATAAAACCATCCTCATATAGCCATCTAATCTTTAGCAAAGTAGACAAAAACATACACTGGGAAAAAAGTCCTTATTCAATAAACAGTGCCAGGAAAATTGGATAGCCACATGTAGAAGACTGAAACAGGATCCTCACTTCTCACCTCTCACAAAAATCAACTTGCGGTGGATAACAGACTTAAGCCTAAGGCATGAAACTGTAAGAATTCTAGAAGAAAATGTTCGAAAAATTCTTTTAAACATTGGCCTAAGCAAAGAATTTATGAGCAAGACCCCAAAGACAATCACAGCAACAACAAAAATAAACAAATGGGACCTGATCAAATTAAAAATCTTCAGCATAGCCAAGGAAACAATCACAAGAGCAAACAGACAGCCTACAGAATGGGAGAAAATATTCATATGCTGCACATCCAATAAAGGGCTGATAACAAGAATCTATATAGAACTCAGGAAAATCTGCAAGAAAAAATCAAGCCCATTAAAAAGTGGGCAAAAGACATGAAAAGAAATTTTTCTTTTTTTTTTACTTTTATGTTATCATATTATGGGGGTACAAATATTGTTAGGATTACATATATTGCCCCTGCCATTCCTCTCCCCGCCCCCTGCCTTACCAAAACATCAAGCGTGTCCTACCCCCAGGTGGGTGGTGCACATCGCACCTATTTTGTAAGTATATATCCTTTCCCTCCTCCCATCTGCCCACCACCCAATAAACGTTTTTTTTTTCTTTTATTGACCTTTGGGTTACATTGTATATCTTTGCCTTTACCTACGAAGGGTTAGAGGTATTCCCTCCCCCAACACAATGCTCGCCACAAGCCTAAGATGTGTATCTCCCCCTCCCCCCAACCCTGGTGAACAGTATCACCATTTGAGTGATAGTTTTAATCAGTCAGTACCAATTTGATGGTGAGTAGATGTAGAGCCCATTTTCTTGATCTTGTGTCGCCTCACTTTGGATAATGGGATTAAGCTTAATCTAGGATGGCATAAACGGTGCTAGCTCACTGTCATTTCTTAGAATTGAGTAGTATTCCATTGTGAACATATACCAAAACAAACATATGAAAAATGCTCAACATCTCTAATTATCAGGGAAATGCAAATCAAAACCACGGTGAGATATCACTTATCTACAGTGGTAAGTCCCAAAACAATAAATGTTGTCGTAGATGTGGAGAGATAGGAACACTCATATACTGCTGGTGGGACTGCAAACTAGTGCAACCTCTGTGAAAAGCAATATGGAGATACCTCAACGAGGTACAAGTAGAACTACCATTTGATCCTGCAATCCCATTACTGGGCATCTACCCAAAGAAACAAAAGACATTCTATAAAAAAGACATCTGCACTAGAATGTTTGTAGCAGTGCAATTCACAGTTGCAAAGATGTGGAAACAACCCAAGTGTCCATCAATACATGAATGGATTAATAAAATGTGGTATATATATATATATACCATGGAGTTCTACTCAGCCACAAAAACCAATGGTGATCTAGCACCTCTTGCATTATCCTGGGTAGAGCTGCAGCC